TTCGATGTGTCGCCTTCAGGGAACGTCTCGCTTTCCTCCTGTAGATATGATATATCACACACTTATCAATTAGATTGATGGGCAGAATTCTTGTACCTGTTGAACTTTTGTCCGAGACATTTGTGAAAGTGTTTTGTCAGATAAATGGCTTTATTTGGTCTGGTGATGCCTGAAGTCTATTATTAGAGAATGGCCCCGGGGGGGACCGGCTAAATGATGAGCGGACGGCTGGGGAATATCATAGATCATTAAAAGCGCAGAAGGTAGGAGATTTGCAGCCGCCGGCTTGTTTTCATACTTTATTCATAAATGTATTTAATTATAGAAGACGGAAGGCATTGCTCTCATGTTCCATTCTGTTATGTGGAGGTCCAGAGGGATAAAGAGACCCTGTCGGGTCCCTAAACAAAGGCGGCTGGCATATCCTGGCAGTGATAGAGGTACTGGGTTCACCTTTCCGTCTTCGACCTTCCCTCCATTGGCGGCCGTAAGAAACATCTTAGTTCTGGTGTTAAATTTGCCATTTTATGTGCGAGGAGGGAGTTCCGGCACCCCCAGCAGGTGTGCTCCAGGATCCGCATGTTATCCCCGGGCGCTGGATGACCCACTGGAGCAGGGCTAGCAATGGCAGATTGTAATGGAACTGGACCGGGACTGCACTAGGGTATTTCCGTTAGCCTCCTGCTTCCCTGTCCGAACACAGATCCACGGACACCACCGCTGACCACACAAGACGAGACAGCACCAGACTTGAACAGGAAGTAGACTGCTTTATTTTAACACAGACACAAGATATATACATTCAAGGGAACAACCCCCCTCCCTACATAATGACACTGGGCGGGGAAAACCAAATCTAGCAACAAGAGACATCAGCAGACACCCCCCACCAAGCCAATACACAAAACACATACATCCCATAATAGTTTGCTCCCAAGCAAGACACAATAGAACAATGGGATGCACCACATTGTAGTAAACAATGAACAACCCCACCTATACATGTCTACACAATATCAGGACTTTCCACCCTGTACCCCTAACAGGCACAGGGTGACTTACACATAGGAGAGATATGGGGAGCTGAGACAGGGGTCTCCCCACTTCTCCAAAGGGGGCTGTGTTTCATGGGCCCCCCCACCCAAAGTCACTCCCGTCACACAGATGTATCATTGTGAGTGCAGCGCCGAGTCTACCTTTTCCCAAAAGTTTGCCCACCCTCATGTAAATATCACATGAGTGAGCTGGCAGAACCCATTTCTTGTATTTCTTATGGAATTCCTATTCTGTAACTGGAGGTGATAACAGAATGGCCCAATCATAAAACAGAATATGTAGACAAGTCCACCAATGATATGCCCCCCCCGCTCAATAGTCTGCACCCCCTTAGTTCCTAATCCCATTTATTTTCCCCTTTAGCCTCAATGACGGCGGTCAGTCTCCTGTAATAGTTGTCTATGAGGCCCCCGAATTCCTGCAGGTGGTAGAGCCGTCCATTCATCTCTGCAAAATGCCTCCAGGTCATTGAAAGTCTTGGGTCGTCTTGCATGAACCACCCAATGGGAGATCTCCCCAGGGCGACTCGATGATATGAAGGTCAGGGGAATGTGATGGCCACTCCAGGAACCTTCACCTTTTTTCTGCTGTGACCACCGGAGGGTCATCTTGGCCTTGTGCTTAGGGTTGTCATCGTGCTGGAAAGTCCAAGAGTGTCTCATGCGCAGCTTTCGTGCAAATTGTCCGCCAGTATTTTCTGATAACATGCTGCATTCATCTTGCCATTCATTTTCACAAGATTCCCCGTGTTTTTAGAGCTCACACCCCCCAAAACATCAGTGAGCCACCACCATGCTTCACAGTGGGGAGGGAATTCTTGTCACTATAGGCTTTGTTGTTCCCTCTCCAAACATAGCGCTTATGGTTATGATCATAAAGATCTATTTTGGTCTGGTGACTCCAGATTACAGTGTGCCAGAAACCATGAGGCGTGGCAAGGTGTTGTGGGGTGTGACGGGAGTGACTTTGGGTGGGGGGCCCATGGAACACAGCCCCCTTTGGAAGGGTGGGGAGACCCCTGTCTCAGCTCCCCATATCCCTCTTATGTGTAAGTCACCCTGTGTAAGGGACCGCCCGGCGGTACCACTAGCACTCCACTGAATAGGCGTCCCCAGCGCACGGAATCTAAGTCCCAGGGTGCTTGTTCACCAGGGCCCCTGATGGTGGGGATGGACTTGGAGCTCTCTGAGACCAGGTCGTGACTACTGGGTGCGCCCGTCAGTGGTAGTAGTATGCGCAAGGGGCTCCCACGGGGAAGAGTCTGATGTGAGGAGGTCGGAAGACCCCACTGCAAGGGATGGATGGATGGATGGATGAGCAAGGTCAGACGGGCCGGGTCGGTAACAGAGAGGACGGCAAGGTACAAGGCAGCGGGCATAGAATGGTCGGGTCACACGCCAGGTCAGCAACAGCAGGTCAAATCCAATAGGGGGCATCCAGGAGAGAGGTCAGGCAAAGCAAGGGTCAGAGCAAGAGAAAGCAGCAAGGTCAGGTTCAATCCGGGTCAAAACTTACAAGGGGTACAGGATCACAGGTTCACAGGATGCAGGGAAGACCAGAAGGCACTGAATGACAGCTCAGGGCCATTTAAATATCCCGCCCTGCGCTGCCATTGGTGCCCAGCGGGCGGCCGCGGCTTCTACTGCGCATGCGCGAACTCGAACGCCGCGGCCGGCCCGGACCTAGTGCCCGTGTCCCTGCACAGGGCGGTGCACTGCGCCTGCGCCGGGACCATTGCGGCAGGGATCGAGGAGATCCCTGACACCCTGTGTCTCTTAGAGGCACAGGGTGACTAATGGACGCTGAGAATGCGGTTAGAATGACTTCCGATGTGGCAGTAATATTTATCAGCCATATGAAGATTATTCCTGATTGCTGATTCTGAAATAGACATGTGAATTGAAGGAGCCGGACCATCTGCTCTGTAGTGAGATCCTAATTCATCCAACCATTGTCTAGGTGGAATGTCCTGATATTGTGTAGACATGTATAGGTGGGGTGGGGGTTGTTGTTTACTGCCATGTGGTGCATCCCATTGTTCCATTGTGTGTCTTGCTTGGGAGCAGACTATTATGGGATGTATGTGTTTGTGTGTATTGGCTTGGTGGGGGGTGACTGCTGATGTCTCTGGTTGCTAGATTTGGTTTGCCCCGCCCTGAGTCCATATGCAGGGAGGGGGGTTGTTCCCTTGAATGTTTATATATTGTGTCTGTGTTAAAATAAAGCCGTCTATTTCCTGATTTAATACAAGACTGGTGACGTCTAGTTTTGTATGGCCAGCGGTGGTGTCCGTGGATCTGTGTTCGGACGGGGAAATGGGAGTCTAATGGGAATACCCTAGTGCAGTCGGGGTCCGGTTCCGTTACATGGGGCATATAGTAACCAGGCTTTTTTTGGCCACTTGACCATGCAGCTCATTTTTGTTCAAGTACCATCGTATTGTGTTCCTTGAAGCAACCACACCATCTTTTTCCAGCGCAGCCTGCATTTCCCCTGAGGTTACTTGTGGACTTTTCTTTCTATCCCAAACAATTTTTTCTGGCAGTTGTGGCTGCAATCTTTCTTGGTCTCCCTGACCCTGACTTGGTATCAAGAGATCCCCGAACCTTCCACTTCTTAATGAGTGATTGAACAGAACTGACCGGCCTATTCAAGGCTTTGGGCATCTTTTTATATCCTTTTCCATCTTTATAAAGTTCCATTACCTTTGTACGCAGGACTTTTGACAGTTCTTTTTCTGCTCCCCATGGCTCAGTATCAGGCCTGCTCAGTGCAGCCACGTGAGAGCGAACAAACTCATTGACTATTTATACACTGATACTAATTGCAATTTAAAAAGCCACAAATGTGGAAAATTAACCCTTTAATTGCCATTGTACCCCGTGTGTGTCACCTTGTGTGTCTGTATCAAAGACAAACATTCCAGGGGGCGGATACTTCTGATCTGTGGGCGGAGACTTCTGATCTGGGGGCGGAGACTTCGATCCGGGCCATTTGGGTGATATTTGTTATAATTAGGATTTAATAAGGCACCAAAGAACTATGTGATAATAAATGGCTACATAGGATCAACATCCTTCAATGAAAATATATTTTTTGGCACGATCAGTCAGATTTTCAGCATCATTGCCAAAATGTCACCATTTCTGCCAGGGGAGGGAGACTTCTGAGCACAACTGTATGCAACAGGATTTCCAATGCATGAGCTTCAAGTGGCAAAGGTCAAAAAGAAATGTGTAAATTAACAGTGAAAAATCTAAATTTATATAACCGATTCATAAATATTACAGTTCCAGATGGCAACATTTGTGCAATCAACCCCCCCCCCCCCCCCCAAACAAAAACTTAATGCAAACTTCAAATATTTAAAATAAAAAATCAAGATGCAGTAATATTAAATTCTTAATAAAATATGAACCAATAATCAATAAATCCTTAATAAAGAGCGAGTCTCTCAATGGTTGATCATCTAAGTAAGTGCGCATATCTTGTGTGAAAATCGCAAAGTGAACAATCCTCAGTCTGTTTCCACCACTTCCAATAAATCGATCAATAAATTGATCTCCAATTGACTCTTGTGATGTGTGTGCTGACACCCACTGAGTGAATGGAACACTCAGGAGAAGTATAGGTAGCTGTGTCTATCTGCCTCGGAAAGATCCAAGCCCCCCCCCAGGGATCACAGCACTCTGCACCTCTCCACCTCCACAAGCATATGTTCACCAGAGACACCAGAAATCAGCTGCCCGCTACCTCCATCCATGGACAAAAATCCCACATTTGCCTTTCTCAGCCTGGGTTCCTCTGGAGGTTCCTGGGGGTTCCTTTATAAAAGAACAATTTTTGCCTCTTGGGTAAGTGACCACTGAATCCAATGATCTTTTAGCTCTCTTTCTTCCCACTGATCCCCAATGTAAGGGACATTCTTCCCACTGACCCCCAATGTAAGGGGCATTCTTCCCACTGACCCCCAATGTAAGGGACATTCTTCCCACTGACCCCCAATGTAAGGGGCATTCTTCCCACTGACCCCCAATGTAAGGGACATTCTTCCCACTGACCCCCAATGTAAGGGATATTCTTCCCACTGATCCCCAATGTAAGGGACATTCTTCCCTCTGACCCCCAATGTAAGGGACATTCTTCCCACTGACCCCCAATGTAAGGGACATTCTTCCCACTGACCCCCAATGTAAGGGACATTCTTCCCACTGATCACTAATGTAAGGGACATTCTTCCCACTGACCCCCAATGTAAGGGACATTCTTCCCACTGATCACTAATGTAAGGGACATTCTTCCCACTGACCCCCAATGTAAGGAACATTCTTCCCACTGATCCCCAATGTAAGGGACATTCTTCCCACTGACCCCCTAATGTAAGGAGCATTCTTCCCACTGACCCCCAATGTAAGGGACATTCTTCCCACTGATCACCAATGTAAGGGACATTCCTCCCACTGACCCCCAATGTAAGGGACATTCCGCCCACTGACCCCCAATGTAAGGGACATTCTTCCCACTGACCACCAATGTAAGGGACATTCTTCCCACTGACCACCAATGTAAGGGACATTCTTCCCACTGACCTCCAATGTAAGGGACATTCTTCCCACTGACCCCCAATGTAAGTGACATTCTTCTTACTGACCCCCAATGTAAGGGACATTCTTCCCACTGATCCCCAATGTAAGGGACATTCTTCCCACTGACCCCCAATGTAAGGGACATTCTTCCCACTGATCCCCAATGTAAGGGACATTCTTCCCACTGACCCCCAATGTAAGGGACATTCTTCCCACTGACCCCCAATGTAAGGGACATTCTTCCCACTGACCACCAATGTAAGGGACATTCTTCCCACTGACCACCAATGTAAGGGACATTCTTCCCACTGACCCCCAATGTAAGGGGCATTCTTCCCACTGACCCCCAATGTAAGGGACATTCTTCCCACTGACCCCCAATGTAAGGGACATTCTTCCCACTGACCCCCAATGTAAGGGACATTCTTCCCACTGACCTCCAATGTAAGGGACATTCTTCCCACTGATCATAAATGTAAGGGGCATTCTTCCCACTGACCCCCAATGTAAGGGACATTCTTCCCACTGACCCCCAATGTAAGGGACATTCTTCCCTCTGACCCCCAATGTAAGGGACATTCTTCCCACTGACCCCCAATGTAAGGGACATTCTTCCCACTGACCCCCAATGTAAGGGACATTCTTCCCACTGACCCCCAATGTAAGGGACATTCTTCCCACTCATCACCAATGTAAGGGACATTCTTCCCACTGACCACCAATGTAAGGGACATTCTTCCCACTGACCCCCAATGTAAGGGGCATTCTTCCCACTGACCCCCAATGTAAGGGACATTCTTCCCACTGACCCCCAATGTAAGGGACATTCTTCCCACTGACCTCCAATGTAAGGGACATTCTTCCCACTGATCACCAATGTAAGGGGCATTCTTCCCACTGACCCCCAATGTAAGGGACATTCTTCCCACTGACCCCCAATGTAAGGGATATTCTTCCCACTGATCCCCAATGTAAGGGACATTCTTCCCTCTGACCCCCAATGTAAGGGACATTCTTCCCACTGACCCCCAATGTAAGGAACATTCTTCCCACTGACCCCCAATGTAAGGGACATTCTTCCCACTGACCCCCAATGTAAGGAACATTCTTCCCACTGACCCCCAATGTAAGGGGCATTCTTCTTCCACTGACCACCAATGTAAGAGACATTCTTCCCACTGACCCCCAATGTAAGGGACATTCTTCCCACTGACCTCCAATGTAAGGGACATTCTTCCCACTGACCACCAATGTAAGGAACATTCTTCCCACTGATCCCCAATGTAAGGGACATTCTTCCCACTGACCCCCTAATGTAAGGAGCATTCTTCCCACTGACCCCCAATGTAAGGGACATTCTTCCCACTGATCACCAATGTAAGGGACATTCTTCCCACTGACCCCCAATGTAAGGGACATTCTTCTCACTGATCACCAATGTAAGGGACATTCCTCCCACTGACCCCCAATGTAAGGGACATTCCGCCCACTGATCACCAATGTAAGGGACATTCCTCCCACTGACCCCCAATGTAAGGGACATTCCGCCCACTGACCCCCAATGTAAGGGACATTCTTCCCACTGATCACCAATGTAAGGGACATTCTTCCCACTGACCCCCAATGTAAGGGACATTCTTCCCACTGACCCCCAATGTAAGGGACATTCTTCCCACTGACCTCCAATGTAAGGGACATTCTTCCCACTGACCACCAATGTAAGGGACATTCTTCCCACTGACCCCCAATGTAAGTGACATTCTTCTTACTGACCCCCAATGTAAGGGACATTCTTCCCACTGACCTCCAATGTAAGGGACATTCTTCCCCCTGATCATCATGTTAATGTACAGTGAGCTGTAGATACAACAATTATTAGCAGGGGTTCTCTGAGACTGGAAAGTTGTCTTCAGGGTTTCCCCATGTTGACGTTGAGAATGGCTGTTACAGATAATCTCTCACATGGAAAACACGGGAAGGATGCCCATAGTATAACACAGTTCATTTCAAAATAAAAATACAATCACAGAAACATATAAAAGCCATATCATGTACCTGCTAGAGTGGAGACTGGAACCTTGGGGGGGCCTCTCTTGCACCTCCTGCCCAACGCTCCTGAAGGTGAACACAGGGAGTATGAGGGCATGGAGCGGCAGGAGTGCTGGAGTAGCTGGCTGGTGGTGTCCACTCATTAAGTGGGTAGAGCTGGCAGTTGCTGTCCTCAGGACAGGATGCAGAAGCAGCTTGGCACCAGAGCAAGAGGTGGCAGTGGGAGCTGGAAAGAAAGTGGCAGTTAGTAACAGCCAGGCAGCAAGGGACTGAAATGGCAGGGCAAGTCCAGGAAGCAAGCCAAGGTCATTACATCCAGGCAAAGTACAGAATCAGCAGGCAAAGAAGAGCCCAGTAATCAGGCCGAGGTCAAAGGGAACCAGATAAGGAGGTTTTGAGGCAGAAGTCCCGAGAGACTCAAATACATAAAAGTGCAGCGCTTAAAAGTATAATAGTATAAAATTATATTGGTGACAGTTCGTGATAAAGTGCTTGATAGAGGAGTTGATGGTGACTTCAAATTTCAGTGGTGTGCCAGTAAACAGTAAAAATGCGCACTCACCAGATGCGTATTTTTAAATACGGATATAATTAGTATGACCAGAGGTCCCCCTCTCAGGATGGGATGAATCAGTTGGGTCGTTTTAACAGACTCTCCTCCCTCTGGATGGTAGGCAGCTACAGAGACGTCTCCCTAGGTGTGTGCGGGTGGAATCCAGCCAGAGGCCTCCTTAAAGGATGGGTGGATGCTTGTGAGCTAACACTGGAACAGCTCCCTCCTCTGGGTTGGTGCCACATGTGATTCGGCTCCTGTATCCTCTAAGATGGGCTCTAGAAGTGAACGTTAGCTCGCCAGGGAGCCAACCAAAAAACGGCCCATAGTGTAGTAGTTTAAAATGATTCAATTTATGAATCCACGCGGTATGAAGATAAAAGCAATTAGGGTGTATAAAAAATGGTATACTGACCATTCACAGTTACAAAGATGACCGCCGGACCTGTGCTAGGTGCCGGCGGCAAGACGTCATGGCGTAATGGCCCCTTTAACGCTGGGTCATACACAGGTAGGCCAGTACAGCGAATCAGGTCTCAGGCACACAGGAACGAGCCGATAACCCCTCAGTGACAGATCACTTTAAATAGGCTGCTGGGTGCCAAGTGTGCACGCTAATTGCTATGTACATGTGAGCATGCGTACGTGGTGAACCCGGAACAGAACGTATGATATTGCCCTTTTGCTTAGAAGTACGAGTGAGTGTGCAATGCAAAGGTTTGCACCGTATCCAAGAAATCCGGTATACCTTACTAGCGGCTTTATTCACTTACTTGATGCACCATTGCTTGGTCCCGGAGATGTTTGAAGTCAGTCCACGAAGCTTTGTCCAATGCATTTTGTCCGAGCAGACGTCATCAGGGGCTACGTGCACTAAACTGTATGACCTGTATAAGCAGTGGACACTCTCCTCCTTTAGGGACAGACTGAATAATTAAATATACATCAACTATTTTAAACTTTTCAGGGTATTGAGTCAAACACCAAAGGTGTTGTTAGGGTCTCTTCAAGATGTACGCCTTGGGTAGATTTTTTTTTTTTTTTAATTTTAAACTCCCCATCCTATGATAGCCATACATGAAATGGGGGGTGTGGTCTACGCTGGGATGGGAAGACAGGACAACATTAAAACCATTGTTAGAAGATCAAACCTTTCTCCTAAAAGGTTCTACAAAGTTCTGACCACTCTACCAAAAAAGGTGTTTTAGTTGTCCCCTTCCCCATTGGATTGGTTTGGATATCAAGTCAAATTCAGGCACTTACACGGCGTGCACTTGACAATGTGTGAATGCAGAGCAGCATGAATCTGTGTCTTTTACATCTGCCCGGGGTTCTGCTCCTACAATCAGAAAATTACACCACTTTGCATATTAAAGTGATTGGCAACCCATTTTTTTTCAAAATAACAAACATGTCATACTTACCTGGTCTGTGCAATGTGCTTACACAGAGCAGCCCCGATCCTCCTTTTCTCGGGTCCCCCGTTGGCTCTCTGCACCACTTCACCCAGAATATTACTGCAATGACAAATGTTTCGGCATTCTCATGTTTATTTCTTTTGTTCGTATCGGTGACACAAAAAAGCGGAGAAACAAAAAAGACAAATCTGACACTTTCCATGTAAAACCCCAAAAATGGACTGGACAAAATTATTGGCACCCTCCATGTAATATTTGGTGGCACACCCCTTGGAAAAAAATACCTGAAATCAATGGCTTCCTGTAACCATCAATGAGTTTCCTCCACCTCTCTGCTGGAATTTTGGATCGCTCTTCTTCCACCAACTGCTCCGGGTCCCTCAGATTGGAAGGTTCCTTTTCCCAACTGCTGGTCTGAGATCTCTCCACAGGAGCTCTATGGGATGGAGATCTGGACTCATTGCTGGCCAGTTCAGTCCTCTCCAGCACTTTGTCTGAAACCATTTCTGGGGGCTTTGTGACGTGTGCTTTGGGTCATTGTCCTGCTGGAAGACCCATGACCTCTGATGGAGACCCAACTTCCTGACACCGGGCCCTACATTGTACCCCAGAATTATTTGGTCGTCTTCAGATTGCTTGATGCCATGCACACGGTCAAGACATCCAGTGCCTGAAGCAGCAAAGCAACCCCAAACCATCAGTGACCCCCCCACCATGTGTGACTGGAGGGACTGTGACCCCCACCATGTGTGACTGGAGGGACTGTGACCCCCCACCATGTGTGACTGGAGGGACTGTGACCCCCCACCATGTGTGACTGGAGGGACTGTGACCCCCCACCTTGTGTGACTGGAGGGACTGTGACCCCCCACCATGTGTGACTGGAAGGACTGGATTCTTTTCTGTAAAGGCCTCATTGCTTTTTCTGAAAACAGTAGAATGATGGGCTCTACCAAAAAGCTGTCATTTTGCTCCGTCTGTCCGCAGCACATTCTCCCAGAAGGATTTTGTCTTCCTCAGGTAAGTTTTGTCAAACTACAATCTGGCTTCCAATATGTTTCTTTGTCAGCGGTGGGGTCCTCCTGGGTCTCCTACCATATTTCTGTGTCAGCAGTGGGGTCCTCCTGGGTCTCCCGCCATATTTCTGTGTCAGCAATGGGGTCCTCCTGGGTCTCCTACCATAGCGTCCCTTCTCATTCAGATGGTGGTGTATAGTATGAGCAGACATAGTTGTACCCGGTGCCTGAAAGTCAGCTTGGCTTTGTCTGGAAGTTGATGGAGGTTCTTTAGCCACCATTCCAACAATCCTTTGTTGCAATCTTTGATGATTTTTTTCTCTTTCATCCACGTCCAGGGAGATTAGCTACAGTGTCATGGGCTGTAAACTTCTTGACAATGTTGCACACAGTGGACACAGGAACATTAGGATCTCTGGAGATGGACTTATCACCTTGAGATTGTCCATGTCTTTCCACAATTTTCGTTCTTCAATCCTCAGACAATTTTTTGCTGCTCTGTCCCTCCTCCATGCTCCATGTGGCACACAGAGACACACAACAGAAAGGTGGAAGTCATTTGTCACCATTGTATCTGGTTGCCGGTGTGATTTTATATTGTCATCTCCTGGCCATTGATACAGGAGAGTTTAATGACAAATTACAAGAGCGTCAGAGACCTGGAATGCAATTATTTCTTACACTTTGGAGAAGTTGCCAATAATTTTGACCATTTTTGGGCTTTGTGCAGAATGTGTCAGATTTGGCTTTTTGTTTCTCCACTTTTTTGTGCCATGCCAATACAAACCAAAGAAAGACATGAGAATGCCAAAACATTTGTCATTGCAACAATTTTCTGGGTGCAGCGCTGCATCATCTAACAGAAATGCAAGGGGGGGGGGGGGGGGGGTCAGCAATATTTTTGGCCATGACTCTAAATAAAACAGTTTTTCGAGAGAGATTGTGAATAAAAGAGTTTTTATGGAGGAAGGCCTTATCACACTTGTGGAGTCAGCTAAACACTGAAATAATGACATAGAAGCATCAAGGTCTGGGGTGGAGGAACTGAACACGACCAAACAGAAAAAAATCAAAACCAAAATAATTGCCAGAAGGGGAGATCACCCACCTAAGGTCCAATCTCCTCCTGTTCTTAGTATATTACATAATGGGCACTTCCAAGGATGTCATTACCACAGGAACAAAATATGTAATTGGCAACTCCATGTAATTACATTAACAGCATGGCGGTTTGTTCTCTGATGAAGGCTAGAAGTTTATACTTACAAACAAATTGTTGTTCCAGTATTTGGAATTGTGATTAAGGGGTTTGCCAAAAGTAGACTTTCTGTAAATATATAGACTGAGTCAGCCCGGCACCTTAACTCCTGGCCGGGTACGTTGTGCTATCTACGGTAATAACCAAATCTAACCAATAATTGGCAACAGAAGCAGTCAAGAGACGCCCGTAGCGAAAGGAAAGAAAAGAAAATAGCGTAGGGCAGACATGACTAGGCTAAGAGGGGGTTAAAAAAGACAGGAAATGGTTAAAAAAAGGAAGAGGTGGGATTTAGTATATGGCCAAGTTACCTGATTGGTAACTGGAGAGTGTAGGGTGGGGTCTTCGACACCTTTGGGTGTGGATGGGGGAGGGTTGTCAATTCAGTGCAGGAGGAGACAGCGGAGAGCGAGCTTCCCTCCTTCCCTCCCTCGGGGTGGTGTGGGGTGTTTTTGTCACTCCCCGGGGGGGGTTTGTTCAGGTTCCGGGGGCGGTTGTTGATCTTTGGAGGCGGCACTTATTTTGAAGCTATCGATAATGGTTTGGGACCCATCGGCGGTATGTTGTGCCCGGGGGCATTCCAGGTTTAACCGGAAGGCGGTGGTTCTGCACTGCAGATGGTATGTTTTATCTCCGAGCCGGTGCGTTGCAGACGGAGGCCTAGTTATAATATTGGTTCCGCAGGTGGATATCGGTTCTGGTTTGGTGCCTTCGAAGACCAACAACTTCTCCTATATGTTTCTGTTGTAAGGAATGTTTTGTGTATTGAAGTTGAAGTGTTAATAGAAGGCCGTGTTGGCCATTTTACGCCATTTTACTCCAATTATGTTTTTCTTTAATGATAGGTTAAAGGGGGGTATGTGAGAGAGTGAGATGGTGGTGTAGGGGGTCTTGACTAGCCTATCTCTTGTTCACTAGTCATGGAAAATGTACTGGGGAGCATTAATGACCAAGGGTGCCTAGCAGGGGCAGACTGACCATTTCGAAACTGCCCGAGGGCCCATGGTCAGTAGGGGGCCCCATGAGATGCCCCTGATACCTTTTTCATAGGCTTTTTTGAGTTTGGGCAAGCATACAGGGGCTGTCAAGGTCCTACCTTTTCCCAGAGGTTATGCTGCTCCATGTGCTGGCATCCATCTTCTGCAAAGCATGGTGGGAGTCTTTTATGCCTTCAGGCCTCTGTGTTCCATCCCCCCGAGGGGTGTGGTTGATCACATATAAGCCTAATGTCCGCACGTGCCCTTTGCATTCGTGTCTTGTATGTTCGTGTTGCAACAAGCTCTGTTTCTACTCTCGTGGCTCTCCTGGAAACTGACTCGGCTTTTGACTAGACTATTCTCTGCGTTATCCCTTTATCTGACCTCCCGTTGCTGAACCCGGCCTGTGACCTGTTATTCTTGTCTACCGTTCTGTACTGTCTGTCCCGTTGTTATCGACCCGGCCTGCCCGACTACGCTATTGTCTTCTGGTTCCTACCAACTATACGCCATTGGCGGCGGCCATTACCGCAGCTGGGGTGTCTCGGGGGCTGCGAACTGGTCCCTGGCTGCGTCAAGTCCATCCCCACCATCAGGGGCCCTGGTGAAGGGCAGCCTGGGACTTAGACTCCGCGCCCTGAGGGACTCCGGTCTGTGGGTGGTGGTTGTCGTCAGTCGGTGCGTGACCCTGCCATTAGGCCTACCTGTCCGTTCCACAGCTCCTGCCCTGACAGGGGCCCCATGAGTTGTCAGTCCACCCCTGGTGCCTAGAGTGACTATGCCAGCAATAGTGATGGGACGAATACCCCCCCCCCAACCCTCCCGTTCAGTTCACGTTCAAACATTCGAACCTAACGAAAGTTCGACCGCAAACTTAATGCAAGTCTATGGGACTCGAACTTGTAATTTCAAAAGTGCGCATTTTGAAAACTTCTGTGCAAGTTATTGGCCATAAACGGTACTGTTCTGAGGGACGTGAATCAGTGAAAAAACAAAAAAAAATTAAAAATGGCCGTTTTTAAAGGGGCAGTAAATTTTCATTGCTTAAAGTAAGAAAAAAAAATTGAGAAAAGTTCCTTTAATCATGCCTGGGGGTCTCCTTAAACTACCTGCAAAGTTGCACATATGTACAATGTATAGAACCGTGAAATGTTTATTAAAAAAAACAAAAACAACAGAGCGGGGTTACCCCTAAAAGCCATAACAGCAGCCTGGTAGGAATTTTAAGGGGAACCCCACCTCCAAAAAATGAGGGGGAGCGTGGGGTCCCCCCTAAAATTCCTACTAGACCCTTGATCAGAGCACAGGCCTTGCAGACCAGGAAAGGGGGTGGATGAACGAGTGCCCCCCTCCCTCCTGAACCATACCAGGTCACATGCCTTCAACATGGGGTGGTGCTTTGGAGCAGCGGGGCTCTTCCCCACAACTCTGGGCTGTGGTTTTGAAGGTCTGCGGGGGGGGGGTGACTTATCAAAATCTGGAAGCCCCCTTTAACAAGGGGGCCCCCAGATCCCAGCCCTTCCGCCCTCCCTCCTAAACTGTACCAGGTCACATGCCCCATGGGGGGGTGCATTGGAGTAGGGGGGCTTTTCCCCACAACTCTAGGCTGTGGTTTTGAGGGTCTGCGGGGGGTGACCTTTCAGAATCTGGAGGCCCCCAAATCCCGCCCCTTCCCCCCTCCCTTCTGAACTGTACCAGGTCACATCTGGAAGCCCCCTTTAATAAGAGGGCCCCCAGATCCCGCCCCTTCCCCTTGTGAATGAGTATGGGGTACATGGTATCCGTACCCATTCACAAAAAAAAGTGTAAAATGTGAATAAAAGCACAACAGTTTTTGACAAATCCTTTTTTTTTTTCAAAAAGCCAAAAAAATATTTCCATCATTGTAATCCCTCATCAATCATGGCGTCTGGCATTGTCACAATGAGGCTGATTCGCCGAAATAAAAAAAAAGAAGCCCGCCGACCCGGCCACACCCGCTGAGAACTTGCTCTTTGCAGTCAGTGATGTCACCGCTAGCTCCACCCAATTGTGCTGTGATTGGCCAAAGCATTGCACCTGAACTGTAGTCAGGTACATTGCTTTGGCCAATCATAATGCACTGTCAGAACGCAGTGCATTGTGGGGCGCGGTAGGCGAACAGCCCGCCGGACGCCCTTACTGTTCGTGTGTTCACCGATGTTCGACTCGAACATCAAATCCATCAATAGCCAGCAAAGCGGCCTGTGCATCTCTCTGTGAATGTTCCCACAGCCTCCTGGGACCTGAAACATTTCCCAGGGGGCAAGGGAGGAACGTTTATTGGGATCACCTAGGCAGGGGCGCCCCTAGGGTTGGTAAGACTTGGTGACACCCCCTCCGACGATCCCCGCAGAATAGATCGGATCTGCGGATTGAGCATAATGGATCAGAGACCAATCCATTATGCTCCCCAATCCGCAGATCCGATCTATTCTGCGGGGATTGTCGGCTTTCTTTACAACTTACCTTTTCGTGGAGCGGGTCCGGTGTCACCCCATATAGGCTGCATGCCGATGATCCCCGCAGGATGGTTCGAATGTGCAGATTGAGCATAATGGATCGGAGACCAATCCATTATGCTCCCCAATCCGCAGATCCGATCCATCCTGCGGGGATCATCAGCTTGCTTTACAACTTACCTTTTCGTTGAGCGGGTCCGGTGTCACCCCATGCGGTCGGTGTCACCCAGTGCGGGCCGAACCCCCCGCACCTGCCTTGGGACGCGACTGCACCTAGGCTATCCCAGCAGAAGAGGGAGGGGGTATCTGCCGGAAATAAGTATCTGCTCCCTAAAAGAAAAAAAGTGCGAAAAGTGAAGGAGGAGGAGGTGAATTTTTTCTTTTTACATTTTTTTCAATCAATAATATTTTATTTATATTTGTTTTGTTCCTTTAATGTTTTGCAGCGCTGCATTAAAAAAAAAAAAAAACCCCACAAAATTGATAGAAAGCTTTTATTTCTTTTGTAAATAACTTTGCGATGCTTTGTATCAGAATCCTAATATTACTGTCATTGTAGAGAAGACAGATTACATTGGATACATTTTATCTGCAGCAACACTTTTTTTTAAAGCTAACAACGATCAGAGTAGGAAAAGGTGTGTTCTCTTTTTTTAGTTTTGTTACATTTTTGTTCAAGGATTGTAAAGTAAATTAATTTTTTTTTTTTGGCAGGACAATATCACCAAATAGAAAGTCTTGTTTGTCGTAAAAGAAAAACAAATGTTTTATGTGTGACTTTATTATAAGTAATTACAAAGTTATTGCCCAATAAATATCTTGTATAGTACGGGACATCGCAGTACATTTACAGAAATGAAACAAATTGCTCTGGGCCGTAGGGATGTATTGGAGGGAGACTTGCCGTATTTATAGAGAAACTTCACTCCCCACCTTTCATTTATTTTCCTCTTGTCTTTACAGTTGGGCGGTCTTCAAAAAATAACTTACTCAGCCCAGCAGATCCAGTGGTGTCTGATGTAACACCCCTGATGGCACACCCCTTCTGAGGACGTACGATTGTACGAAACGCGTCTTGCAGGAGCCTGCACGCTTTGACGTCATGCCGGATCATGGAGGTCCGGCGGCTTCCATTTGTTACCAGCTGGTTAGTGCTCATAGCAGGTTTTTGCTGCAGTATCTATTGCTGCCTGTTGTTTGTGATATAGCATCCAGGGGCGGACTGACCATTTGGAAACTCAGCACTGCCCGAGGGCCCGGGTCAGTAGGGGGCCCCATGACATGCCCCTGGTACCTTTTTCATAGGCTTTTTTAAGTTTGGGCAAGGACACAGAGGCCCCATGATCCCCTATTGCCCGGGGGCCCCATGAGTTGTCAGTCCGCCCCTGCTCGGCACATGTTCGGCACATACCATATACATGTATGAGGATATCCTATTACTGATTTTATTATCCTTCATTAAATGTCATTTGAAAATACTACACTATGGGTATATCCATCTTTTGTTCTACACTGAGCATTTAATCCCCCCGGAGCTCCCCCTGGTGACTACCCCATTATACTGAAGAGGCTGCATCTGTGTCCTTAAAGTGGACCTCCGGTTGAATATCCATCCAGATGATTTCCATCCATCCCGGGCTGATTCCATTTGCATCCTGAAAGAGACCGCCTGGCAGACCTCTATTTATTGACATATTGCGCATTAGCTTTGCGCGTCCAGTGAGTGTGCATTTTATACAAATCCTGCCCAGGGGTGGACTGACAACTCATGGGGCAATAGGGGATCATGGGGCCCCTGTGTCCTTGCCCAAACTCAAAAAAGCCTATGAAAAAGGAACCAGGGGCATCTCATGGGGCCCCCTACTGACCCCGGGCCCTCGGGCAGTGCCCAAGTTTCCAAATGGTCAGTCCGCCCCCGCTCTCACCAATTCTAAGAAAGTAACGATTTTGGGAATATTGAAGTCACCTCTGAGCTCTTTTATTCATTGTGGACTGCCATCCTATGCTTGAGCTATTTGTTATACATTCATCAGGACTACATTATAAGTGCTGCACCTATTTTATCTTATATGTCTTTTGAAAGGTTGATGGTTTCCTTTATTGCGCACAGCTGCTTTTATGCTTTTATATTTAGTGCTCGCTGAGTTATCGTATCCTTTTATGATGTAATCCATTGCTCAATGGCTCTGCCATCTTCTCTTCTGATGTCATCGGGAGGCTGGCTCTTCCCGATTCCTTAAGCTCACCCCAGGGGCGGACTGACAACTCATGGGGCCCCCGGGCAATAGGGGATCATGGGGCCCCTGTGTCCTCGCCCACACTCAAACCACACCCAAAAAAGCCTATGAAAGGTACCAGGGGCATCTCATGGGGCCCCCTACTGACCCCGGGCCCTCGGGCAGTGCCAAAATATTCAGTCTGTGCTGCACAGGGGCGGACTGAGAACTCATGAGGCCCCCGGGCAATAGGGGATCATGGGGCCCCTGTGTCCTCACCCACATTCAAACCACACCCAAAAAAGCCTATGAAAGGTACCAGGGGCATCTAATGGGGCCCCCTACTGACCCCGGGCCCTCGGGCAGTGCCCGAGTTCCCAAATGGTCAGTTCGCCCCTGGCTCGCCCCCTGATGACCCCCGGTGCAGCGGAGATAGCCCGGCACATGCACAGAGATTGACACAAAGCCTCTTGGGATGTGTGATGTTAGTATCTGTCACGTACCTGATAGAGGAGGTCGGCCCCTCTTGTATCTCCAACCCAGGCCCCACTGAAGGTGGAACAGATGGTGCTGAGGGACAGAAGAAACAAGAGTGCCTGTGGATATTGATTGTAGAATTTGCGGCTGGTGGTGTGACCTCGGTAAATCAAGCAGGGCATCCAGTCAGGAACAGAGGAGATGCCGGAACGGCCAACTGAGGTTAAGGAAGCACTCCACTGGAACTGCAAGATCTGCGTACATGGCTTGCCGGAACTTCTGATAAGTGGGAGGCAGGAACACACCATGACAACCGGAGCTGATATCACGGATAGCCAGGACAAGTACTCAGCAGGACTGTAGAGCCAAACTGGAGCCAGAAGCGTAGTCAGAGTAATAGCCAGGGTCAGCAACGAGCAGGCGATGAGGTACCGGAACATCAGACAGGGACGA